GCAAACAAAACCGAAAGGCTGACATAGGGTCGGCGACTGAGTGCGTCTGCTACAACATTCGCTTTCCCTGGATGATACTGTATAGAGAAATGATAGTCTTTCACAAACTCTAACCATCTGCGCTGTCTCATATTCAGTTCCCTCTGTGTGAACAAATACTGTAGACTCTTATGATCGCTAAGCAATCGAAAAGTCTCCCCCAAAAGATAATGCCTCCAAATACGCAAGGCAAAAACCATTGCGGCGAGCTCTAGATCGTGAGTCGGGTAATTAAGCTCATGAGGCTTAAGCTTCCTAGACCCATAAGAAACTGGTCGCTCTTCTTGCATCAACACACAACCCAAACCCTTCAGAGAAGCGTCGGTAAATACTAAATACTCGATTCCACTCTGAGGTGTGGCTAAGACAGGTGCAGAAGTTAACTTACTCTTCAATTCAGCAAAAGCAGTCTAACAAGAATCATCCCATGCAAATGGTACATTCTTCTTAGTTAGATGAGTAAGTGGACCCGCAATTTTGGAAAATCCCTGGATGAACGAGTGACGAACTTTGTCCCATGACATTGGCTGTGCCACTGGTTCAGGAACAGGTATTATCGGAGGAGGTTGCTGGTTTCATAGAGCAGATGCTACTCCTGCTGCTACAGCTCGTGCAATGATATCAGCAACTTGAGGGGAAAATTCCTGATTCTCATTTTGAGTTTGGGAAATACTGCGATAACGGTTCGCATTCCTTGTCCCACGCCGAGACATCCTTCTTTTGAATTCAGAAAAATCTAACGTCAGTACATTATAATGGACCGACTAAAAGAATACAAAGAACCCTAATACTTAGGCTCTAATTATCAGAATACACAACGCGGAAGTATAGTAATCACAGATCCCTAAGACACTCGAACCTGGAATGCTCTGATACCAACTGTGACACCCCCAAACATTTTCCACGCATAAGTTGATCAGGCTTATACACGAAAAAAGAGTCATTATCACCATCAATATAAATAACCCTAATAAACATAATCACAAAAATTAAAATTAAGCATGCTTAAGGTCAAATGAAGGGAAAAAATTCACAAGAAATGCAAGAATTAGTGGATTAGAGCACCCCTACCTCAATGGAAGTGAAAACCCCCAAAATCCCCAAATCTAAGCCCTAATTTCGGAATCCCTAGGCTTGGCCAAATAGTGATTGGCTCCTATCAAATTGAAGAGTTCTACTAAATTCCAAAAGAGTAAGGCTAGATCAAAGCTTGAAAGTGCAAAAAGAAAGGAAAAAAAGAAACTGCCGAGAGAGACTGGACGCAGAGAGAGAGAGAAGAATAAATGGGTCTGTATAATGACTCTTAAGTCATTTACATTGACTTATAACTCATGCGGGTCCCACAGGTAAGTAAATAAATATTTATTTAACTTTATATATATATAAACATTACATTCTCCCCAACTTTAAAAGATTTCGTCCCCGAAATCAAGCCATACCTGAGGAAGAAAACGACTCTGGATACTTGGAGCGAACCTCCTGTTTGAGCTCCGAAGTAGCCTTCTCAATTTCGTGATGCCTCCAAAAAACCTTTACCAATGGTATTGTCTTTTTCCTCATCACCTTTTGCTGTGTGTCAAGGATCTAAATTGGTCCCTCCTCGTAGGAAACATCCTCATCAATGTCAATCTTAACCCAACTCAAAATGTTAGATGGATCCGGTTCGTATTTTCGTAGCATCGAGACATGAAAGACATTATGAACCATGTCCATCTGTGGTGGCAATGCAAGTCTGTAGGCAACCTCACCTACACGGTCCAAGATCTCAAAAGGTCCAATGAATCGTGGCGACAACTTGCCACTCTTCCCGAACCTCATCAACCCTTTCCGTGGTGAATTCTGAAGAAAAACGTGGTCTCCCACCTCAAAAGATAGCGGTCGTTTCTGCCTATCTGCATAACTCTTCTATCGGCTCTAAGCTGTAAGTAATCTCTGTCTGATCAGCTTAATCTTCTCGGTAGTCTCGAGTACAATGTCGGGTCCTAAGGCAGCTGTCTCACCCACCTCAATCCAACAGACAGGAGACCTACAAGGTCTACCGTACAACGCCTCAAATGGAGTCATCTGAATACTCGCCTGATAACTATTGTTGTAGGCAAACTCAATAAGTGGAAGGTGATCCTCCCAACTACCACCCAAGTTAAGTACACAGGCCCGAAGCATATCCTCCAAGATCTGGATGGTACGCTCCGACTAACCATCCGTCTACAAATGGAATGTCGTACTAAGGTGCAACGCTGAGCCAAACGCTGCTTGAAGTCCTTCCCTGAACTTCGAGGCGAACTTGGCATCCCTATCTGAAATAATAGCCACTGAAGCTCCGTACAATCTTACAATCTCTTTCACATAAAGCACACCAAGCGCCTCTGCATCATCTGTTACCTTAATAAGCAAGAAGTAAGTTGTCTTGGTCAATCTATCAATAATGACCCATATAGCTTCATTTCCCCTCCGTGACCTAGGAAGACCTGTCACAAAATCCATGGCAATCTCCTCCCATTTCCACTACGCTACCGACAATGGCTGTAATAAACCAGCTAGTCTCTGATGCTCGGCCTTCACCTGCTAACAGGTAAGGCACTTAGCTACAAACTGTGCAACGTCCTTCTTCATTCCATTCCACCAATACTGATGTCTCAGATTCTGATACATTTTGGTACCATCTGGATGAACTGCAAAGCGGGAAGTGTGAAACTCCCGTAAGACGTCTTCCCTACAAACTGTGGGAACAACCAACAAACCCCTGAACCGTAGACCTCTATCTGCACATAAGGTCTAATCCTTCACGGTCTCACCATTGGAGATCAAGGTGTAAATGGCATCCAAATCTGAATCTTGTCTCTGTGACTCAATCATCCGTCTGACAAGAGTGGGTTGAGCTACGAGACTAAACAAGAATGCTGACTCATTGCCATCATCATCATCATCAAAGCAATACAATCCCATTTTGGCCAAATCTTCAAGCATCTTCCACTTCTGAATGGCTAAACTAGCCAAAGTCCCACGAGATTTTTGACTTAAAGCATCAGCTACAACATTTGCTTTGCCAGGATAATACTGCAAATCAAAGTTGTAGTCTTCCAAAAACTCAACACATCGCCTCTGTCTGTTGTTCGAGTCCTTTTGGGAGAAAGGTACTTGAGACTCTTATGGTCTAAGAACACCTCAAATCTCTCACCATACAGATAGTGTCTCCAACACTTCAAGGAAAACACAACTGTCGCTAGCTCCAAGTCATGAGTAGGGTAGTTATACTCGTGAGTCTTCAACTGTCGAGACCCATAAGCCACTACTCTACCATCTTGCATTAGTACACCACCCAAACCATCACGTGAGGTGTCACAATAAATCACATAACCCAAGCCATGCTCAGGTATCACCAACACTGGAGCCTTAGTCAACCTTATTTTTAACTCTTGAAATAATGACTCACATGCCTCATTCCATGCAAACTTGATCCCTTTTCGAGTCAATCTGGTCATAGGAGCTGCCAAACGGGAAAAATCCTTCACGAATCTCCGATAATAACCCGCTAGGCCAAGGAAACTCCGGATCTCAAAGACATTCTTGGGTTGCTCCTAATTTAAAACTGCCTCTATCTTTGAAGGATCAACTGAAACCCCACCTTCCGAGACAACATGTCACAAAAATTTCACCTCTTGTAGCCAAAACTCACACTTTTCATATTTAGCGTACAAACGGTGCTCCCATAGAATCTGCAACACTATACTCAAATAGACCTCATGCTCCTCCGAGTCCGTGAATGCACAAGAATATCATCCACGAAAACTACCACGAACTGCTCTAAATAATCGTGGAAGACACGGTTCATTAGATCCATGAATGCCGTCAGTGCATTAGTTAAACTAAAAGGCATAACAAGAAACTCATAATGTCCATACCGTGTACGGAAAGCGATTTTTGGAATATCCTCATCTCTAACCCGCAACTGATAATAACCTGACCTCAAGTCAATCTTCGAAAAACAACTGGCTCCCCTCAACTGATCAAATAAATCATCTATCCTTGGCAAATGATATTTGTTCTTAATGGTGGCATAATTCAACTTTCAGTAATCAATGCACAACCTCAAAAAACCATCTTTCTTCTTAGCGAACAAGACCGGTGCACCCCACGGTGACACACTCGGTCGGATGAAACCTTTCATCCTCAATTCATCAAGCTGTTTCTTTAATTCTTCCAATTCAATTGGTGCCATACGATACGGTGCCATAGAGATTGGCACGGTACCAGGCATCAAATCAATAGCAAATTCCACCTTTCGGTGTGGAGGCAACTCAATCACGTCCTCCAGAAACACATCCAGAAAATCGTGCACCACTGCTGGATAATCAACGCCATAAAACTGAACGTCATTATCGGTGAAAAAGCTAGCCAAGAAGAACGTCTGCCGACCCTGACTCCTAACACCATAGAATGAATGAGTGAGAGGATCACACCGATTTCCCACAAAACAGAAACAATCCCCATTCAGGGTACACACTGAAACTCTGCTCCTGAAACAATCAATAATAGCTCTGAAGGACGACAACCAGTCCATCCCAAGAATGACGTCAAATCCTGTCATCTCGAGAAGGATGAGATCGAACTCAAGAACACGTCCGACAATCGTGATGGAATAACTTCTACAAACTCTACTAAGAGCAACTAAACCCCCGATAGCGCGTATCAACACAGAGCGGTCTGTCTAACAGACTGACCTCCAAACCCAATGCCCGTGCAAATGATGAAGCAATGAATGAATAAGAAGCACCGGAATCAAACAACACACGAGCCCAAGAATGGGACACAAGAAACATACCCCTGACAACTGAAGGACTGGATGATGGCTCGGTTGGAGTGAGTGCAAACACGCAACCCTGGGTCCTCTGCCCCTGAGAACTGTTTGCTTGATAATCAGACTGCTGAGTAGGTGCACTCGAAGAAACTCCCTTACCCGGTCAAGAACTTTGGGCTGACATGACTGGCTGAGATGGTGGTGGCAGTCGAAACCCTGACTGAACGGTGGCAGACTGTATCTGCCTCTGCTGTGAACATCTACCTCTGCCCAAACCACTGCCCCGTTGTGAACAATCTTTCACCCTATGGCCCTGCTGGCCACACTCTAAACATCCACAAGACGCCACCTGAATCTGAGTACACTGAGACTTATGATGCCCTGACTGCCCACACTTGAAACAAATCACCTGAGTTACCTGAGTCTGAGTGCATTGGGACTTGTAATGTCCCAGCTGCCCACATCTGAAATAAGTAACATTCGGTCTAGAAGACCCCATTGACACTGAAGCTGTGGGTGCGGATCTGATTGGCTGTTGTCCCATGAACCCTGACTGCTCATGTTTCTGCTTCTTACTTGATTGTCCCTCGGAGAAAGCACTCATACCCCTTTTGTGCTTGTAAAACTCCCTGATAGCCTTATTGTCTCTACTTTCAGCTTCAACTAATAGGCTTTTCGCACTACTTTTGCATACTCTGTCGATTCTGAAGCAGCTACAATTGGCCTAATGGTAAAATCAAGGCCATCAACAAATTTCTCTATCTTTCCTTCCTCATCATTAGCAATCCCAGGTGCAAACCTCAAAAGTGACATAAACTTATTTTCATATTCTGTAACTGTCATGTTTCCTTGCTTCAACCCATCAAACTCCTTCTTTAGCTCCCTCCGCTTAGGCGTCGGAAAGTACTTCTCATAGTACAACTTCTTGAAAGTATCATATGTCATAGTATCCAAATCGTGCGTGTATGAAATAGTCTTTCACCATATCTCAGCATCACCAATAAAATTGTAAGTCACCAATGTGATCTTCAACTTGTCCGTTGCCAAATTCATGGCATTAATATGCTTCTCCACCCTATCCATGAAACTATCCACAACAAGAGGATCTAGGCCTCCCTCAAACAGAGTTGGCATCAATTTCACAACTTTGCAATGTGGTAAAGAGGATCATCTAACTCATTTGTCTTTGGAGGTGGTGGTGGTGGTGTGTAATACCCCTAATTTTAAAAGGATAGTCTCGGTATTTATTTATTTGTTTTAATTGTATTTTTAATTATTTAATTGATTATTTGACTAATTGTTTATGTGTTTAATTGAATTAGGTATTACTTGATTATTTGATTACGTGTCTATATATTATTTGTATTTGTCTATGCGTTAATTGTTTAATTAGATTATGTGCTTAAATGGTATTTTGATTAATTGTAAATTAAACATTTTTTTTTTTTTATTATTTTATTTTATGGTTATGGTTAGTAGTAATGGGCCAACCAATTGGGTCCCATGGACTACTTGGATAGGAGGTTGGATGTGTATGGATTATTACCCATGAATAGTTGTGTATGTATATATATAGATATATATTATATACATATATAAAAAGAAAAGTAATTTATTAATTACTTTTATGGTAACTTAGGTAGTAATTTTTAATTTGATGTATATGTTTTATATTTAAATAATAAAAATATACATAGATTTGATACGTGTTATGTTTTAAATTACTTTATAATATTATGGTAACTTAAGTATTATTGGATAATCCATCAATAAATAACGGAATGTGTATAATTTATTTATTTAATAAAGATATACATAAATTTTATACGTAACATATTTTACTTACCTTTTTAATATATATAAAAAGGAAATTAATTGGTTAATTACTTTTATGGTAACCTGGGTAGTAATATTTTATCTGATTTATATGTTTTATATTTAACTAATAAAAATATACATAGATTTGATATGTATTATATTTTAAGTTACTTTATAATATTATGGTAACTTTAGTATTATTGGATAATCCATTAATAAATAATGGAATGTGTATAATTTATTTATTTAATAAAGATATACATAAATTATATACGTAACATATTTTACTTACCTTTTTAATATATATATTTTTTAAAGTTGACGTGGATTGGGAAAAGGGTTAAGGTTATTTTATTTAGCCTATAAATATATAGCTATAGGTTATAAAAGGGGGTTAGAAATATTCACGTGATATATTCTGGAGAGAGAGAGGTAGAGAAGGAAGGAGGAAAAGGAAGTAAGGAGAAGAAAAACCCTGTAGAGAGAAGATCAAGGAAGAAGAAGTTTAACTTTCGATCCGAAAATTTAAGGCAAGTTCTTCTTCTATCTCTTTCCCTTTGATTCGTGTTTCTGTACATGCCTAGGAAATTCCAGGATTTATTAAACACATAAAATTAAATAATTATGCATGTTTAATTGGGTTAGAACATAGGTTTTATGAAATTAGCTCATATCTGTTCTTGTGTTATGAATTGATAAAATGCATGATTTTGATTTGATTTCTTGTGTGAATTTTTACATGTTTAAATTATATATTTTTCATATCTGTGGAATGATGGAACGTAGAAACATGCCTAGGATTCCTGAACATTAAATAGGGACTAGATTTGGGTTTTAATAAATTTAAATAGACTCAGTCATAATGATGCTTGCTATTTGAATGTTTTAAACAAACGAATGGATTTAATCTTTTAAAATGTTTTAGCAATTGAGATTAAATGTGTAGGATGAATTGGATATGGAGAATGCTTATTTAACGGTATAATAAAACATCATCATGTATAAAATTCAGTTTGTGTAGGACATATGATATAGGAAGCTTAAATAAATAATAAGTCATTATAACTTGATATCATATTATCATAGTTATTTTTGGAATGTTTGATGTATTTCCTTAATTTTTACATCAATGGTTGGATTGTGTGGTTTAATGCACCGGTATGGGACGGTGGCATTCTAGGGACGGATTAACTTATCAGTTAAGTCTTACCTATCTTATATAAGGGAATGGATTAACTAAAATGTTAAGTTCTACTTATATTCAAGTCAGGTCAGCTGAACAAATTGAATGACTTATGGAGGATTAATTTATACTGAATAGGATGGTTACTAGATTATATATATAGAAGTATGGTGCCATGATATGAGTTTGAGTCTCAGGATCAGTGGTTAGGGTGCGTATATCGCCAGGGATGTGTAGTTAGATATAGTGTACTTGTGTACCTTGGTAGGTCTAGGTACTCATGCTCACTATATGTGCGTTTTGCATGTTGCCTACTATTCAGGTTGAGACAACCCTATAGTCTAGTAAGGTTCCTTTAGTGTGTGTGTATATATATCGGACTACTAGTTACTGTTGGATTGACTAGGATGTATACGTGTATCGGATCTCTGTTTGGACTGTAATAGAGTAGAACTTGTTTGTAGGCCTGACTCACCATTATTTTTCAGGTGTTCGTCAGGAGTAAAGGTTGTTCATGCTGAGCAGAGATCAGTCTACTTCATTCTTCCGATGCTACATAGGAGTTTATTTATGATTCAGTTTCCTAATTTAGACAGTTATTGCTGTCATTTATTTAGTTTGGATTTTCTAGGGGTCCACACAGTATGGATTCCCGAGTTGTATTTTAGAGGATCAGTTGTATCAGAAGAGTTTATTAATTAATGAAAATATATTCTGAGGTTTATTATTAGATTATCATTTTAGTTTCTTGTCAGCATTTTATTTATTTTCTTTATTCTTTTGTACTCTCTATTCGTTTATTATCAATTTGTTTTGATATCCTCGAGTATTCGGGCGTGGGCTTGGCCAACCCGCATTCGGGAATCTGGGGGTATCACATGGTGGTGGTGGCAGAAACTGTGACGATGACGCATGGTCGATATGCATCAAAAAGAGCCGCCTGAACGGTTAACCTCAATTGCTTCCTATTTATCTGAAAAGGTGGATCAATGATCTCCTTCACTTGTCCCCCTCTTGGTGGGACCAAATCATGCAACAAGATATCTTCCTCAACTTGATAATGCCACTAAAAATTATGACAAAAAAATAATAAGAACCTAATCATTAAAATAAGGTACTCCATACCTACCAAACTAAACTTTTCAAGTCCATTTTGACCTCCAACAAAAAAATTCCCTTTGAGATGGAGTTTGGCCAAAAAGCCATGTATGTTATAAGTGAAGCTAGTAAGTCTTTCAATTATAAATTAGTTTCCACCGATCAAAACGCGGTTGTTGAGCTGTTCAAAAAAAATGTAATCATCCTACCGGTCTGTTTAAACTTTTGATGATTGAAACAGTTCATGTAGGCATCGACAGTTGTAAAGCCTTCGCTTTAAGAATTTAATATATAAACTTCATTCAAATTTTTATTCTGGATGGATCACTTAGAAAAGATCATGCAATTTAATATATAAACTTTATTCAAATTTTTATTTGCATAATCTCTAATTATCTAACAATTTCTCCAATTTTTTTAATTTTAAAAAATAAGTAGAGTAATAAGTTTTATTTTCGTATTTCACATGAGATGTGCTCTTCTTTCTCTTAGCCTTTGTTTGTCAGGCTGCTTTAAGTTTTCGATAAGATCTTTTTTAATATTATCCTAGAAAATTCAAGATTAATTCAAGAAAAAAATTATAACAATTGATAAAATTAGATAAGTCTTATAATATGAACTCTCAATTCAAATATTAAAATTTTTAGAAAGCTGCGATAAATTTGGATCATCCCATCCCCCTTTATGACTTTTTTCCAACGAAAGGTCCCAATAGGCTTAAGATTCCTCACAATATCAATTGTAGATACGAAAGAAAATTTTTGTAGATCAAAAAAACATCTTTCTACTTTACAGATCACTCCACTTGCGTGAGATAGTGGGGGAGGGGACCCAAACTTGAACGCCTTTTTACTTTATTCCTCCATTTGCTCTACTTTTGCCATCCATCGCAAATAATTGTGTTCCCCCTCATTTGTGTATAGGACCTGAATCTCTTCATATGGAGATTGCTTCATTCACATATTTTGAGTCTCACTGCTCCAATCTTCATCCTTACTTAAATTACATTATCCGATCTCCATCTTCATTGTTGCATTTGTTCTATTTGAATGAGTCAGTGACATAAATTATTAGATCTTTTCCTTTTACGTTGTACTCACAATCCATGCATTAGAGTAGAAAACGAGGTTGTATACCTTTGAACCAAAAAATTAGAAAAAAGAAGATACACCTTTGTCTTTATATGGTCCCAACTTTTTTTCTTTTTCTTTTGCCTTTTTTCAACCTCATTCTACTTTACTCCACTCGCAGGAAGCATCTAGCGTGGAGGTCCTTTTCGCACTGATCAAAAGAAAACAAGGAACCTACCACTTCTTTCAACATCCAATGAAAATAATTGGGTTGCATGATTACTCTTACACTTTATTTAGGTTTTGTTTGGTTAGAAAAAAACAAAAAGTGAAAATCATAAAAGAAAGTTGGGTGAATGAAAAAAAAAATTTATCTAACGTGCATGCACTTAGTATGAAACTTACAAAAAAAAAAAAATGTACTATTGTCTATTT